TGTCATTGGGTGCATTGGGCCTCTGGCCTCTGCAATGTTCTGACCTGACTCCATCTAAAATCGTCTTGCTTTAAGAAAATACGACTTATGCCCCACGACCCACGGTCCCTCTATTCATCTGCCAACAAGCTGAGTACCATGTGAACTGAGCGAGCGACTCTAGAGCAAAAAGGACCAGCAAACGTGGTGGTCCGCAACGATAAAATATCAAATGAACGCGAGGATGCGGCTGAAGTCTAGCGATACGGTGAAACATTTTCTTGGCTGGCAAGTCAAAGGCGCCCTACACACGCCCAGCCCAACCCTTTAGAGGCCAGGGTACACATGACCATAGCCCCTGGGTGCACCTCGTTCCAAAAATTCTCCAGAGAAGCAGAGCAAAATCGCTCAGGACGGAAAGGTGTTTTTTTCTCTTTCCACCACCGAAGCGTTTAGGCGCGCTCCCCAATAGCCGCCGACGGCCGCCGCCAGCCGTCGTACTCGTCGCCATACCTCACTGTCGCCTCGTCGAGAACACGTCAATTCTCGACAGTACAGTATTCTTCTTCCTCTTTCGCCGCGGTAAACACAGTATACGCGCTACATAGCAGACCCCCCTCCCCTCCCCCTCCGGGGGGCCACTGGCCCGCATTCCTCGACAGATGGCACCGGCTGGAGGGGCTATGCCCCCACCCCTTGCACGTGCTGGGGGGCGTGGTGGGGCGGGGCGGGGTAGTGCAACGCGATTCCACAGCAGCAGCAGCCCCGCCCAGGTCCCAACAGTCCCAACCCGCACCACACCCCCAGCCCCAGGCGACCCCGCCAGCTTGGACGGGGGGCGGCGCGGCTCGGCGCCACAGGAAGCCTCACTCTGCACTGCGCCCCCCAAGCCCCGCCCCGCCCCACCACACACAATCTGCTCCTCACGTTGCGGAGGCGATGCCCGGATGCCCGGCTGCGCTATCAGTCAACACGACACAGGACCCGATCCCCGTGGTGCTCGGCGAGGACCTCGGCACGCTCAGCACAACCACCGCAGAGACTTGGACGCGCGCGCGCGCGTGGCGCCGACTTGAACTTCCGAACATAAACCGCACACAATCCAAAAGGCGAGGGTAAAGAGCTGGATGGGGGACTCCATCACGATATGCTGGTTCATCTTCCCTCCCCGCCCCGCGGCGCCGTGTCCAAACCACGACCCGCGCTCCAGCCCCGAGGCCCTGCAGGGGTTGTCCCCTCGGTCCCCGCGTCCAGGTCACCACCGGACACCGCCTCCAGGACTAGCATCCCACCCGTCCGCGTCGCGCCCATTGGTCGGGAAGGTTCAGGCCCGTAAGGGTGAGGGGACATATTTCGCGACCATTATGATAAACCGCGCAGTACATTGGCGGCTTTTTGAGGCACTTCGAGGGGCCGAACCAGCGCATGCATTTTATTCGTCCCCCGACGACGTGTCTCACATTAAACAGCGTAATTTAAGCAATATCTAGCGATAGACTCGTTAAAGGGAGGGGTGGTCGGGGGGTGAGTAGTACTGGCTGGAGCACGGGACACTGTGCTGATTGCGCTGTCATTGGGCCTCTGGCCTCTGCAATGTTCTGACCTGACTCCATCTAAAATCGCCTTGATTTAACACTAGAAGGACCGGGATTTTCGTATACCTAGAAGGACCGGAGGGGTCATTTTGACCCCTCTACGATTTTTGGCCGTTTTTATG